GGCCTGGGGAGCGCTGGGGAGGCGGCATGGAGGAATCGCGGGGAGTCTGAGGGGCTGCGAGCGGCGCCGGGGGGGAGGTGGGATGAATGTGCTGAGGGGGGTACGAGGGGCGAGCCCTGAGGGGATGGGGGGTACAGGCAGGATTCTACATCGTCGACTTCAAATCCAACTAACTAACGGCAAAAAAAAAAAATCCCACAAAAAACCCCAAGACAAACCAGTTCACCTCTAAAGTTTTCTGGTTAAAACTCAGTGTGTTTGTTTTTGGTTTTTTTTTTTTTAAAGTATTATTGGTGTTGTCCTTTCTGCTGGTTTCTTCCTAAGACTTGTCTTCTCTCTGTCTGCTGGTACTAATGAGTGTTATAAAAAGTACTATTAAACTGCTGATGTTTGTTGTAACACTTGGAGCAAAACGCTCACGGTGTGGTTGTGATTAATGTATTTTATGCACATATTTTATCCTGGTATGAAGTTTGACAGCTTGAAGTCGTAGCCTTGTGTTCCCTTCCCCGTGTTTGCTTATAATTATTGCTTGTAATTGTTGTTTATATTATGTTTGTTACATTGCTTGTATCATGTTTATTATACTGCTTATAATCCTGGGCATTCCTCTTTCCACTTCCAGCCCCTTGTGTCTTTTCCCTGTAGCTTTCTGGAGATAAATTTCCCTTTCCACCACACCTTGGTGGAAAAAACACCTTGCTGGGGGGAAAAAAATGTGGGTTTGGGACCAGCTAGAGCACGGCAGGGAAAATAACTATAATAATCTGGGTTTTTTTTTTCTTTTTGATAGGAATCTGTGATTACAGCAGCAAAGGCTGAGTGAATGTTTCTTAAAATAAATCCCAAACAATGCACAGACAATCCAAGAGCCCCCTGAAAGTCAAAGAAAACGGGAGTGGTTGTCCTGAAGAGAAAGATGAGGCCTCTCTCCCTCCGCCAAAAGAGCAGAAGAGCTGCAAAAGGACTAAATTCCGAGTCATCAGAGCGTCCAGGAAGGAGAATTTGAGCGATGGGAACCCGGTGTGGCCACCAAAACGCGCCCTGAAGTCCCCCCGAGGCCTCGGGCAGGAATTGCCCCACCCCGAGGGGGGTTTTGGGAGCTGCCACTTCCCGGGGGGCTGTTGTGGGGATGTGGGCACTGATCCCACCTTGCCTGGGCACAGGCAGGAGGAATTTCCAGGCAGCAGGGCTGGTTCCTTGGGCAGCGATGCCCACTCGACTCCTGCGAGGGGCAAAGCTGAAGGGAAAGGTGATTTTGGGCTGTCTGAAGGACAGAGGGGAAGACCCGTTGATTTTGCTGCTGTGACAATTGCTGAGTTTGGGATTGCTCCAGAGAGCTTCACTGAACGCTGCAAAGGTGAGGCTGCAGTGAGGAAGCACTCCTGTCCTTCCCAGAGGTCACCTCCTCCAAGCTCTTCCCAAAAGCTCCAATTTAGGGCAGATTCAGCTGCTCTGACTGGGTTTGGATATGCCCAAGGAGCAGACTCTGAGAGGAAGTTGCTCTAACATCCTATATTTTATATATATATATCACATTTATTGATATACTTACATATTTCTATATATCACATGTGCATACACACATCCAATGTAATATATAGGATATCTTATATGCAAGATAAATACCACATTTAACTAGGATTTCTCCTCTATCCCACACAATTAAACATTCCCTACTTATCTCTGAGCTTCACAAGGAAGTTCTAAGTCAAATTCTGGCAATCCTGTGGACAGTTCCTTAACTAGCAATTAAAAAAAACTAAAAGCCAGCCAGCTCCTCACTTGGGATATCAATCAGTTAAATATTAACTTGCTTCAGGAAAACTTCTTGAGCTGAGCAAGATAACTTTGGGTCTTTCCATAAATAGCAGAGACCACTCTTTAAAAAGTTAAAAAAAAAAAAGGCATTTTGAAGGTGTAGGTATTAAAAAAAACCTGTCTTCCTCTGGTTTTGTTCTTATTGTTTTATTTTTTTTTTAAGCTCTGTTCTTGCCCCCTTGGCAGGGAATTCTCCAGCTTCGTTAAAAATGAGGCGCAGATCGACCATTGGCCTGAGGGGCTCCCCCGAAAACAACACCCTGATCCGGTACCTGGCCCAGCAGAGGAGCAGGAGGCAAAAAGAAGCTTTTACCCAGGTGAGAGTCCTGCCCAAATATTAGTTCAGTTCTCCCCAGGAACCCAAAGGGATGAGGCAAGTCCAGGGGGGAATCCATCCCAAGGCACCACCTGAGTTTGCTGACTTTCCTTGGACAGTTGGCTTTAGGATGAGGGGATGATGTTCCAGCCTGGAATCTTCTCCATGTCGAGCCTGCTCATGAATTTTAACTTCTCTTACTTTCCTGTATTTGCCAGGTTTGATTTTTGGGTAATTAAAGTGTTGCAAGTGAGGTCAATATGAGCACAAGTTTAATCAGACTTCTTGTTAACTTGAACCATCCCAGAGTCTGATGAGGTTAATTTTTGTTTTGGCAGATTAGTCCTTTTAAACATGCAAATGTCAGGTCGTTGAAGGACAAGATTGAAACCTTCCAAACATCTTTTGAATCCCTCCAAGAAGCTGAAGGGGAAACTGGACTGTCCCATGGGGAGGATTCTCAGGAAGGAGGTTCTTGTAAGTTGATTTCATATTCTGGTCAGTGATTTGCCTCAAACATCAGGCCTTCCTTTAGGCTGAAAAGTAAGAAACTAAAAATACTTCATCTAAACCAAAATAATCTTCCTTTGTAAGGCTTGGCATGGGTGGTTTTGGAGGGTTGGTAATGTTATTTTCAAAGTAGATCTAAAAAAAAAATCCATGTGTTTTCTTTTCCCTACCTCAAACATTACCTGGCTTTTTGCATCTCTCTTGGTGAAGAAACATAAAACCAGAATTCACTGAAGAAACTGATGTTTGTCCTTGTGGTTTCTTTGTGGGTTTTGTTTTGTTCTTCACTGATGCAGCTCAGAACAAAGTGCCTCTTAAAAAGGACCCAGACCTGGAGCAGTGGAGTGAAAAGTTCATGCTGGACAACAGTGGAGCTGATTTGAAGGAGAACTGCAGGGAAAATGTGACCATGAACAGTAAATCTGACCCCTGGATCTGCAGCATCTTGTCCCCAAACCCAGCTGTGACTCAACCTGCTGCTCCAAAGGTACTCAGAATGAGGAGGAAACTTCTGATTTAGTGATTAAAAGCTTTTTCATGCCTTGTATTTTCATTTGTGCTGTCTAATCCTTTTAGGCATTTAGTTTTTGGGGAAAATAAATCCAACTAAAGTGGTGGCTGATTGAGAAAACTCTGAAATCTTTTGTCTGTGGGATTAAAAAACTCCGCAGTTTGTGCTATTTTAAGAGGCAGCATTTTCAGGTCGCTTTTTATTTCTTTACCACGTGTTGGTGTCTCTATAAATTGATGATATATATTGATACGTATATATATATATATATAATCTTGTAACTTTTTCTCTAGGAATGGGTTTATGGGCAGAAAAACCCTCCTGAGTCCTTGGAGACTGTTGCAGTTGGAGACACCTTGGAAAGAGGCCACGGTAAGAGGATCCATCAGCATTCAGATCTGGAATATTTGTCAGGAAATGTTTCACCTCACACCTGTCCTCTTGCCCCCAAAGTTTTCAGGTCTGAGCACACCCCTGCTGACACCACAAGCGTTGTCGCCTCAGATCTGAGCAGAAGGAAGGTTGGCTTTGTGGAAGGGCTGAGCCTGGGGGTGTTTGAGGACAGCAAAGCCCTCGTCACCCCACCTGCCACCCCCCAGGGAACAGGGACTGCTCCCTTCAGTGACCTCACCCAGAGCGGCTCCCTGAGGTCCATCCTGAAGAAAACCCCAACGAGGCAACTCCTGGACAGCCCCAAGGTTGGTTTGGTGGTGCTCACAGGAAAACTCCACTTTTGAGAAGGATATTTTAATTAAATTTGATAATTAAATAGTATTGACTTGTACCATTTGAATTTGACAGGAATACTTGAACGATGCAGTTGGCAGAGATGAATCTGTCCCGGTCTCCTACTGTGAAAAAACCTTTGAAGCATCAGACACAGGTCAGATTCCCATTTTTTTAAAACAAAAAAGAATCCCATTTTGTTTTTTAAATAGGCAGAGTATCATCTGGGATCACAAAGTTTGGCCTCTTTGCTACATCTGGATGATGATGGGCATTAAACCTCCACTGAGTTAGCTCCTGTGTGGCCTCCCACTGCATGACCTGGAAAATCAGATTACCAAGGAAAATAAAATAAAATCAACCCTCCTAAATAAAATAAAGTAGCACTAAATCAAATCTTCTAAAATTAATCCCACCCCCAAAATTGCAGAGTCACTGAACCCCAAAACTTTAGGAAGACTCTCAGAGCAGAGTCCCTGATTTTTTTTTTCAAGGAATTTTATACTTGTCAACTGAAACCTGTGGAACAGCTGGTTCTTCCTAATCTTCTGGTTCCTCCCTCAATTCTTTATTCTGTAATAAAGCTCCACTGAAAATTGTGGATGATCTCACAGGCGTATTTTGAATATTCAGCCCCATGAAAAGCCCACTCTGGCACAGCTGCACATCCCCTGAGCTGCTCCTTTATTTTATTCCAACAGACAACACCAACAGTCTGGACTTCAGGACTCCAAGGAAGAAAAAAGTCACTTTTGGGGAAGTTCTGAGCCCCGAAATCTTTGACCAGACGCTGCCTGCAAACACCCCCCTGCGCAGAGGAGCCTCCCCAGGCCTGAGCTCCAGCCCTGCTCCAAGGCCAGGCTTAACTGCACAACCTCCCCCCAGGCTGCATTTTGATTGTGATGATGTGAGTTCTTTAAAAAAACAGCCCCTGCTCTCTGGGAATGGTCACTTTTTGTTTCATCCCCCCTGTCCCCAGCTTGGTTTTGAAAAGAAATTGCTGCAATACTAAATCTGAGTCTGCTTTATTCAGCTTGATTTTTTTTGCTTTTTGAATTCTGACCAGCACCTTGGCCTGTAAAGCAGTTTGAAGGTGGGTTCTGGTGGCACATGAAGTGCTTTTGCCTTGGCTTTTTCTCCTCTTCTGGTGCTGTGTCTCTTTTTGCCATGTGCAGTGAATGATCTGGTGCATTCTTTTAAGAAAAAAAAAAAAATAATAAATCCACTTGGCTGTTCCAAACACTGAGGGATGAGGGTGTTTTTCAGTACCTCTCTGCTATAATTTATTGCTTAAAAATGTCATTTTCTGGCATATTTATTGCTAAATAATGTAATTTTTTTTTTTGGTTTGAAGGAATGTGTTGAGCCTCCCCAGCACTTCCTGGAGGCTTCTTTTGCTGCAGAAGACCCTTCCCCTGTTGAAAATGCAGAAGGTAACTTCTATTTTTGGCTGTAGGTAATGATTTTGTACCTGAAAATTGAGAGTTGAGGGGTTTTTTTTGGTTTGGTTTTTTTTTTTTTGGCTGGCTTTTTTTTTTTTTTTTATGCAGAGGATTTATTTGGGTTGTGCTAAAATTTAAATGCTTTCTTCTAAAGCTGCAGTTTTTACCTGTGGTTTTAGGTTGTTTTTTAACCTTGTGTTTTCTCTGGAGGTGCCTGATCTAGTCAGGCTTAAATTGGATTTACAATCTTGATTCTGATATTGTAATTTTGAGGATTTTCAACA